GCTTCGGCAGGAGGGTTGGACTAGATGACCCACAGAGGTCCCTTCCAACCCCGACCATTCTGTGATTCTGTATGTTCTTGCTGATACACCTAATGCACAAGAACATCAAGATATTAAAAGAGAGCACCTTAATCTGTGTCCCTTTTTCCTTTAATCACGGCTGTGCACGGGGCAGAGGAGAGCAGACAGAGCGGAGGGATCATTCAACCCCTTCCAGATCCGAATGCAGAGGCATCTCAGCTTCAGCGTTCTGTTTCATTACTTGAAGCTCTGACTTCTCTTTTGGCCCCTTGCTTAGTCTTAGTGTCTGTTGTTTTGTGGAGTTCTTTTTCTATATGCTAACAAAAATCATAAGATTCATGGAAAAGCGCTGCCCTGAGTGTCTTGCAAACATTACAGCAAATAAACAGAAGAAAACCCCTTCGTGATTTTGAAGAAAATCACAGACAATCAAGCTCATTATGACTTATCATTTGCATGGCTGCATTGCATACAAATGAGTGCTAATGACAGACAGACTTTGTTCTGAGAGCGAACCTGTACTTTATTTTGATGTTTAAACAGAAGTGGCGTGGCGTGTCTAGGTAGAACAGCTCCTGTCAGGAGTGACAGTGCAGTCAAGAGCGTTCCAGCTGCAGCCCTGTCCTTAGCATAACAGCAGTGCAGAGAAAAATTCATCTTCCCTTGAACACCCTCACACCCATCCGTACCAGCACCGCAGGTCGGGGGATTGCCCCAGCCACAGGAGATGTCTCTGCCTTCAGGGGACAGTCCGGTGTCTCCTTTTCCCTGCCCACACCCCTTCTGCAGCCTATTGCATCACTGTGGTGTTCAAGCAGCGTTCCGGGACCCCAGCCGCTACCACCGCTCATCGCCAACAGCCAAAGCCTGTCCACACGGCAGAACTGCACTGCCAGGAGAAGTCCACTCTGCCTCAGCAGTCTGTAGAAAACAGTGCTTGGTTGTGAAGTGTATCGATGTCTCAGGAAAGCATCATGGTACCTACAGATTCACAGACTGGTTGGGGTTGGCAGGGACCTCTGTGGGTCACCCAGTCCAACCCCCTGGCCAAAGCAGGGTCACCCAGAGCAGGCTGCGCAGCCCCC